ACACACAACCACAACACACAAACACAAACACAACCACAAACACACAACCACAAACACACAACCACAAACACACAACCACAAACACGCAACCACAACAACACGACCACAAAGACACAACCACAAACGTATAGCCACAAGCACAACCGCAAACACATCCACAAACACACAGCCACAAACACACAATCACAAACACAACCACAACCACAACACACAACCGCAGCACACAACCCGAGGACCCACAAGCAAAATCGAGAACTACAATACTCACGACCATGGCAACATGCTCCTCACTATGGCATCAAGTCAAATGATTGAAATGTCATGGTGGGGATCACTCGAAGTAAAGTAATTTTTGACAACCAGTTGGAGCAACTTTAATAGTTGCATGCATGCATGTTTAACCATGATACCTGGGTCAGCTCGACACGTAAAAACCTGGGTTTCTTGAGCTCTCAGCCAAGTTTGGACTTATGACTTGCATCATATCTACCTTGCCCAAAGTCAGCGTTTTCCTTACCGATACCCCGATACGATGGGATGAGAAACGCTCTGAAAAACCAACTGACGCGTACACCATACACCCATATACTGTAAGAACTTTGCCTCATCAATTTTCCAACCTGCACTCCTATGGTCCAGGACACCCAGGGTTTGAAGGATCTAGCAGTCCAGGGTCCCGTTTGCGAACGTGGAGTGCCTACAAGATCTCATCGACTATATGGAAGTCTGTTGTCTATTCCCTGTCTCTCCTAATACCTCCAACATACTCGCTTCGATGGTCGGGCTACGAAACCGACCGGGCTCAGCTACTACCACCTTCGGATGCAGGACAGGAGACCTTCATGGATTGAACGTTTGCAAAGAGACCCGAACGTAGCGACCGAACGCTCCGAAACGTAGCTGTGAAACGGACGGCACGGACGGCTGAGCTGAAGGCAGATCCTCTCCCCTACCTCTGAGCTGAAGCTCGCTCCTGAGGCTCAGTCGCGCCCAAGAGCTGCGTGGTTCGATCGGGAGCACAGGCTGAGCACTCCTGAGTTGGCCGGGCGCCCCATCCGGCGTTCTGGGACCCACAAGTGAACCGGGCGAACGGCATGGACCAAACGGCGATGGCGATTACCGTTAAACCGTTAACCGGTGGTTCTTTTTGGATGTTCCATGTGGGTCTCGTACCCAGGGTGATGTTCCATTACCAAACAGAAGCAGTGTTTTTGTCAGCAATGATTTGAAGGAAGAAGACCCAAACAGACCAGACCAAAAGGACCTGGAAGAGGAAACGAAGCGACCAGCTCGTCTCGCCAGGTCCCATGCGATGTCTGGTCTGTGAACTCGGCTGTTCGGTCTTCTTAAAGACCCGAAGGAAGTTCGCCCTGGAAAAAGAACAACGCATTTTCCCAACATGGATCGACATGGTCATTTTCCACTAAAAAGTACGTTCCAAACAAAAGTGACCTGCTGCTCAAAGAAAACTAAACATTCCCTGGAATCACCATGGTCAGTGGAGTGAAACAGTGGAGTGAAACCAAAACCACCGCCAGAACCTCTTCCGAACGATTTCATGGTCCGTCCATGTTCATCTCAATTTTGAGGTGGCCATCCGAGTCCGTGTCATGCCACAAAAGCTAGCTTAGGGCCTAGGGTTGTATAGACAATGGCTCCAGCACCGGATGAACATGCTGACTGCAAAACCCCCGGTCCAAGAAGGAACAACCAAATCCGCCCAGTCCGACCGGTCTCTTCTCTGCACTCAGACCGGTACCTGCCGCTCGCCAGGATTCCATCTGTCCTTGGAAGCTTTGATAAAATCCAACTCCGCAAACTCGGCACTCCTCGGGGCGACGTGAGCACACGCCGAGCGATGAACGAGGGAAGGCGAAGCGATAGGCGAGCTGCTGGAATGCGCCAGCACTATGCTGGCTCTGCCGGCTAGGGCCATGGGGATCTAGGGCTGAAGGACATTGGCAGAGTCCCTAAACCTATATATATAGCTTTATATGTAGAGTTTGATTAGGACATCGCACACAAACAAGAAACTGCCTGTTTGGGGTGGATGCACGTGTTTTTTCTTTTTGTGAGGGATAAAACCTCCGATTCGGATGGTGGAGCAGGATTGGAAAGGATCTTCACAAGAAAAGGCAACAAGATCTGAAGGAGACTCGTCGTCACACATCTTCGTTTCTGGCGTCCAAAATGCAAAATCCCCAAAGGATGGATGCCCCCAACCTTGGTAGGGCGGTGATTTTGAGTCCTTGGTCCAAGAGTCCTTGCTGGCTGGCACGTTGCTGAAGGTCCCGCGTGCGCAAGGTTCACACGTGGTAGACAAAGACTGTGATTGGCTGGTGCCCGGCGCGCAGGGCACGCAGCGATGCGTCTTCCCCTTGTCATCCACGTACCTGATCTGGCATAAGGTTCATGAGTATTTGGATAGGATTGACATTTCATGATCGCTATTAGGTTGGAGGCCATTGCAATATAGTTACAGAATGTTATAGTGACTAATTCCAAGCTTTGATTTAAATGCAAACCTTCCAGTCCGTTGGTGCCGGACTGGCTCGACGTGTACACCTCTTCTGTCCAAACGAGTCGGGGGAGTTCCCTGCCACACGAAGAAACACAAACACATGGGAAGCGAAGACATGCGCATGTTTGGGAATGTTGCACAGCCATGGTAGTTGAATAAAGAAGAAGCGCACGCATTCACAGGATCAAACACATCCCAAAACACTGCAAATAACATAATCGTATATATTTATCAATTCTCATGCTGCTGTCTTTAGCCACCCTGTGGGCATAGGATAAATGCTCAACATCGCCAACTGGCAGAAATCCACTGCTTTGTACCTTGTCCTGGTCCAGCAGAACCCTCCCTGAAACACACTCAGGACAGAACGTGGCTCCACAAAATCACTGCTTTTTGCTTCCCCACGTCACTGCCCACTTTGTTTGAGCCCCAGCGGCTCTTGCGAGAAGAATCCGGCGGCACAGCGTTCGCAGGTGCTGGCGCCCGAGCGATTGGCCAGGAACTGGCCTTCCACATCGACCAGACCAAAGCCCGCCGTGCAGCTGGTCTCAATGGTCACCCACTCCTGGAGTGCTGGATCCTCATGGGGCTGGATCCTTATGACCCTGAAGAGAACAGGGGTCGCATGACGGCAACAACAACAAAGAACAGGGGTCGCTGTCATGATTTCTCATGTTCTGATGTACACCTTGACCCTGAAGACAAGAACAAACACAGAAATAGATCGCCGTGAAGACCTGTCATGCCAGTCCCCTATAGTGCCTGGGTAGTGCCTGGGTATGTCTTCTGAATGACAACCCAAACCGCAATTTGTGCCCCAAATCGTAACATGTCCATGTTTTTCCTCTCAACGACTCAGCAAGGTAAGTGTGGGAATGCGAAGGAACGTTCACACATCCCACCCCAAGCCATGCCACGAAGGGGTGTGAGCCTGCGAGGTAAACATGAGTTGGAAAGTATCATGTAAAGATACCAGGACCCTCTAAGGGGTGCCCAATGGAAGCCTATAGGTAGTGTGGGGTAGTCCATTGGACACCCCTTGGAGGGTCCTGGTATGTGCACAATGCAGTTTTCATAGGACGGAAACGAGTCCGCTGGCTACAACATGAACCACGTGCCAGCTCGCCTGAGTCACATGAGCTCTTCATCGATCATCAGGTCCCCGAGCTCTCCAACATATTGGTAGGTCGACCGTCCCTATGGATCCACTGCCACCTTCTGAGGTACGGTGATGTGTTCCACACGGTGAATCTCCAGGTGGTTTGGAGTGTCCAGGTTGGTCCCGAACCAGGTCGCGGATGGCTGGATCGGTCGATCCCGATTGGCTGGGGCAGTTGGGGCATCTCCACATGGCGCCATGTGACCCGCCCGGGCCCATGGCTGCGACCCCGAGTGGAGCGGTGGCAGCGAGTGAACACATGCCCCGCGTGCAGGGGGGAAGATTAGACCCAGAAACTGGGTGTGTATTCTTGAGGGAGAACCCTGCAAGCGACTGGGCAGAAAGGGCAGTGACTGCAGTGTGAGTTGTGCACAACTCTTGAGATGATGAGCACAAACAAAAAGACTCATGGTTCCATGGATCTCATGGCCCCAGAGCTGTTCCAGGATGACGAAATCCAAAGACTCGGGATGACTCGGATGACTCGTTTTCAGATGATGTTGAGATGTTTTGAGCTTCATGAAGGAGGTCGGGGTGCCCCCTCTCATCCGAACCCAACCGCCCAACTCCATGTGACTCCTGATAGGTACTCCCCCGCAAACTAACATAAAACCTGCGAATTGACCTGTGGGTTCGACCATTTTCCGAATACCAACCCAGTGGTTTTGGGGTTCCATGTGGTCCGAATAGCAGGGAGTGGGCCTCTTCCAGACCTATGGATGGTGAAATCGGGCATGTGAAATCGGTCCTCCCACTTGTCTCGGTTCAGGCGGATCCAATCACAAGCGGCTTCTTTCATTGAGCTCCGCTTGGCCTCCACAAAGAAAAGGCTGATGGTAATGAGATGGGAAGAGGGTGAGGTCATCTGTGCCTCGTTCCTACTGCTTGTGGACAGGAAAACCAATGAACCCATAAGAATACAGTGATACTGGGAAGGGAAGGGATTTTTCTCTATATATACTATAGTCTGTATAGTATTTGGAATCTACGGGTGCGCCTGAAAATGCATCGAAACTCTCTACCCCCCAACGTCTATAAAAGCGGATCAGCTGGCCACCGAACCACCAATGTTGGTTACTTACTGAACAACGGCAAAGAAAGGAACGGAGTGCTCTCAAAGTAGTCTCACTCTCAAACATCATGAGAATGGAATGCTTTGGAATCTCCCAGTGGTCTCGGTCTCAAAGCAGTCTCAATGGATCTCACTGGAATCCCACTTGATTTCAAGAATCCCGATTCAATTGATACGATCGCTGTTTGCTCACCCACAAACATCTTCCGAACAACAAACGTGTGTCTCCGGCATAGTCCGCAGCTCTTCCCGAAAAAGATATGTAGATTTGCAGTTGTTGTTGCTGCTGCTCTTAGTCAAAGCAATGGAGCTGCGGTCTTTTTTTCTAGGAAGGGTGAAAACACCCTTGGGGCAAGGTGCAAAAAGCAACCACGGGGCTCCAGTTGGTTGTTTCTAGGATGTGGTAGAAGTTCCTATCTTATAGATTGTAGTAGTAGTAGTAGTAGTAGTAGTAGTAGTAGTAGTAGTAGTAGTATATAGTGAATAGTAGTAGTAGAATATAGTAGTAGTAGTATATAGTAGTAGTATATAGTAGTAGTAGTATATAGTAGTAGTAGTAGCAGTAGTAGTAGTAGTAGCAGTAGTAGTAGTATATAGTATGTAGTAGTATATAGTATGTAGAAGTATATAGTATATAGTAGTATTAGTAGTAGTAGCAGTAGTAGAGGTAGTAGTTTATAGTAGTAGTAGTAGTAGTAGTAGTAGTAGTAGTAGTAGTAGTAGTGGTAGTAGTAGTAGTAGTATATAGTAGTAGTAGTAGTAGTAGTAGTAGTAGTAGTAGTAGTAGTAGTAGTAGTAGTATATAGTAGTAGTAGTAGTAGTAGTAGTAGTAGTATATAGTAGTAGTAGTAGTATATAGTAGTAGTAGTAGTATAGAGTAGTAGTAGTATAGAGTAGTAGTAGTAGTAGTAGTAGTAGTAGTAGTAGTAGTAGTAGTAGGAGTAGTAGTAGTAGTAGTGTAGTAGTAGTAGTAGCAGTAGCAGTAGCAGTAGCAGTAGCAGTAGGAGTAGTAGTAGTAGTAGTAGTAGTATATAGTAGTAGTATATAGTAGTAGTATATAGTAGTAGCAGTAGTAGTAGTATCAGAAGGAGTAGGGGTAGGAGTAGGAGTAGGAGTAGGCGTAGGAGTAGGAGTAGTAGTAGTAGTAGTAGTAGTAGTAGTAGTAGTGAGTAGTGAGTAGTGAGTAGTGAGTAGGAGTAGTAGTAGCAGCAGTAGTATTGGTAGCAGTCGTAGTCGTAGTCATAGCAGTAGCAGTAGTAGTAGGAGGTAACGAAGCTGTGGTACTACTCGTCCCACGACTACTACTAGACTACTTACCACCACTGCTACTACTATGTTACTACTGCGTACTACTGGAAATACCAGTTCGGGCTTGTTGTTTTGGGGGGGCTTCAAAAAACAGACTGCGGGGCTGCAGTTCTTTTTTGTACCATGGGGTAGAGACAACGTATGAACATGTTGGTTGACGGGGATGCAGTTCTTGCTTCTAGGAGAAGGTAGGGTAAGAAGATGTGCGTGGACGGGACTGCATTTTGTTTTACCTTGTTATTGCTATTGCTGTTGATGGTGCTGTTGCTGCTGCTGCTGTTGTTGCTTCTGTCTCTTCTGTTCCTTCTGCTTTTTCGTCATGAAGTCAAAACTCATCTTCATCCGGTTCCGTCCTTCAAGAGAAGATCCATGATCTCCCCCAACTCCATCAGCACACTCGACACAAACTCCTGGTGTGGATGAGTTGGTGTCATGCGCGTCGTTCCAAGCTGTTCTGGTGGTCTGGTCATTCCAGCTACTCCCCGAAAGCAGGAAATCCAGCTACAGACCTTGGACCCAACAAACCAAGTCAGTGGACTCCTATCTTCCACATCTTCTGCTGCAGCGCATGGGTTACACAGGGGAAAGAAGACATTCTGATAAGGGTACTGGACCGAATTGAATCTATCAGCGATTATCGTTTCCAACTCTCGCTTTTTCCAATACCATCTGCTTGCCTTTCCGGGCCCTGAAGCCTTCAGGTGAGAACCAGCTGACACAAATAGATTCCATTCGTCTTCCGTTCGAGCATTAAACTAAACGGTGACTGACTAGGTTTCTTAGTGTGAAATCCTTAGTAAAACAATGATTGTTCAGCTTAAAGGCATGTAAAAACCACTAAATCAACGGTGGTTGGAAGCTTGAGGTATTCCTTTATGGTATAATTCGGCCAAAAGGGGAAACCCGTGAGTGCCACTCAAATCCATGGCCATCAAACGTGTTTGGGCCGTGGCCCAAGGGCCTCGTCCAAGGGGGGTGGCTCTTTCTGTTACAGCGGGCCATCAGAGTAGATGGCGCTCTGCCCTATTTTGGGCGGTTTAGATGGACCCCCATCTGCCGGATAGACATGTTAGGTGCCAGTGTAGAACAATTTGTTCAGCTGATGACCCACTGTGTAGCTCAAATAGGAAGACCTCCCAGGCAACGACCCTCTGGAAAGGATTGGAAAATAGAGCAAAACCATCCAAAACCCAGCCAGGGCCAGTCTCTCTATTCAAATACGCACTATAGATATATCATGATATATATCAATATCTGTTTGTACGCGTGAACACCACTCGCCAATACGTCTCTGGCGCCATCGGGTCGAAGCGATCAAACCAACAAACCAGGTCCGGTACGAGACAATCTTCGACGACGCCGCCGCTGGGACGATCTTCGACGGTGTCCTCCACTCTGCTGGCCTTCGAGTACAAATTGGCGCTGACCATCTTTCCAATGTAACTGCCCGTGGCACCTGGAGGAGCGAAGACAGACTGAGCTTCGAAGCAAGCAAAGCATTCAAAAAGAAGAACATTTTAAAAGAAAAGGTATGATACCAAAATGAAATCTATTTTAGGTATCCTTTAGATAATCTTTGGTATCCTTTAGATATCATTAGGTATCCATTAAAAGACCCTATAATGATATCTAAAGAGTACCAGCTCCTTTCAACCTCTCACCCATTGAACCCCTCCGGAAAAATCCATTTCTAGCGTGTCCAAGACCCTGCAGGCTACATCCAGTATATTTCATGTGTTTCATGGAAGGATGTTCCATGTGTTTTTTTTTATCCCCGCGCTTGACCTCTCAACCAGTCGAAGGGTTGGTAGGGTCATGATCTTTTGTTCGAGCCTCGCCTCGCCTCACTGGGTCGAGCCGCCTTTTGTGAGCCACAGCCGAAGAACTCTCCAAAACAGGATCAACAGGCAGTCAAGTATTCCGAATGACCAGCAACCTTCAACAGGTGTCTTGAAGTAGCCTCTTAGAGCAGGGTCTTTTGAAGTGACATTTTAGTTTTTGGGGTATTCTTATAGGGATCCACATGGATCCACGTAGAGATGGTGATTGGAGACACCTTTACCTTTTCTGAGAAGGTTGCGACATGTTTCTAGTCTTCACTCTTTCTGGGGTTCTTAGGCATGTCAAGCCAGCACTTTCAAACACTCCAAGTAAATCCAAGTAATTCTTCGCCCTAATCAAGCCTCACCAGGCATCCCCTCATGCAGAAAATGTCAAGGGATGTTTCTCACCAGATGCAAACCCGGGCTAGCCCGGTTGAGCAGCACTGCCCTTTCGCAGCGCGCGGCGCTGCGCGACACGTCCGCCCTCCGCACGGACGGTCGAGCCTGTGCTTTTGTCCCCTCGCGCCCAGCCAGAGGGACTGTGGCGCGGGAGAATCACTTGTTCCGGCTCCATTTCGATGAAAGTGGAATCCGGGATCCACCAATACCTACCAGTGCAGCAGGCCACAAAGAGACCGAGTGAAAACGGCCTGTTTTGGGGGGTCGATCTTGTTCGGACACATGAGATCAACATCGAAGATTGATAGTCCAAAATACTGCTGGACACGAGTCTTTCCTGCTTTTGGGAGCTGACACATGTCTGGAAGCACCACCAACACCAGTGCCTTGAGCAGGGTTTTCCAGAGATTCGGGAAAGCCCGACAGGTCTTGGGGGCGAACCGCGTGCCGCATGCCGCTTCGCGCGTCGCGTGTCGCTTCGGAAGACATCCTGGACACCTGCGGACGAAGAACAGCATACTCACTGGGTGTAGAGACGGGCAAACGACGGGTTCGGCGGAGAAGGGCAAGGACGACCAGTCTCTACAGGTGGGGCTGGAGAACTCTCTCCCTGAAAAGACACAGTCACACCCATTTGGACCTCTCCAAGAGTGAACACTGGAGAAATCTCGAGGAGCCTTTTGCTGCAAAAAATCCTTTCTTCAGTCACCGGTCGTTGTTGACGTCAAAGAACCCTCTCAAAAGCATTGGGTCATCAAAAGCCTCTACTCGTAGAACAAAGCATGGTGGCTTACTTCCGAACAATGCACTCTGCAAACAGCCAAACAAATAGATTGTCTTTTAATGTAATTTAATGTCTATTAGAACAGCATTCCCCGAAGTGAAACCAACAACCACCCCTGGAAGATGAATATATTGAATCCTAAGCCCACTTCCGGTTGAGGTGCTACAAACATCTGTCGGAGTTCAAGCCCCTCGGGCATCACCGAGTACTGATGAACCATGATGAGGTTCAGGTTCTGGTTAAGCTCTCAAACAGTGCCACGCTAGGTGGGAGCTGAGTGGCAACACTTGAGGAAAAAAGGCCGAACCGGAAGTTCAGTCGAACATGTTCAGTCGAAGTTCCACAGGCTGCGATGCGTTTCGACATGGGTGATCCAGTTGGAGTAGCTGCTGGAGATGGCAAGCGCAGCCGGAATGGAATAGGCAGTGGCCCACTGCATCAGGGACCTCGCTGGCGTCGGTCGGTCGGCACGACGGCTTATTCCGCAGTGCCTCGATCCAAGTCCGGAAATGGCATGGAATATCATGGAATGGCCATGTCGTATATCGCTGCATGACTTGACTGGGACCACGCAAAAAACACCGCTCCACTTTTTGCAGCATTTCCCTCCGGAATGCCATCTGGCGCCGAGGTTCTGAAGGCTCCAGCCATTTCCGGCAGTGAAGAGCGGAATGCACTCTGGAAAGCTGGCGCGGCATGTTGGAGCCATCCTCACCGGTCCGGCCGATGGTCCGATGGTCCGTCGCTCTGTTTGACCTCATGAAAACTGAAGTTGGTCCTGCAAAAACACTATACTTAAGGCAGTACTGTCCAAACCATGCCGTGACCAGGGTGTGGAACACGGTACGGTTGAGGCGGTTGATACACCTCGATGGGGAAGGTATGGGAAGGTCCTGGCAAAGGGGGATGTGTAGGGCTTTGAAGAACATGACTGCCTGTCTCTGACTCCTACTGGAAGTGAACAAGAGTCTAGTGTGTCTAGGGATCTTACCTTAATTTGGAATGCCGAGCGATTCCAACTGATCATACTGGAATTTTCTTCAATATACTCCAAAGTCCTGCAATTATTGCCAATAGCTGTTGATTGACGTTGAATGTGCTTGACTTGACCAGCACAGTTTCCCCGTTTGTTGATGAATACGTGATGTGGTTACAGCTGATGACATAAAATCATTATACATCCCCTGTGGAATTACCGGTGAATGTCGGGAATCAGATTCTATAGTGATAAAACAAAAAACAACCTTATAGTATCAAATCTCAACCTACTGCGGTGCTGAGAACCTGTTCCCTATCAAATGGTTCAGCTCAACCTTTTGAGCAAAGCCATTGTTTTCCTCAATAAATTGTGATGCCAAAATTTGGGAAAATCAATGATGCAAATCCAAGGTTGAATTTGATTGTGGGGACAATATGAAGATTGAAATTGATTGTAGAAACTGATTGGACAAACGTTGCACAACAAATCAAGCCTCCACAAATGCAAGCGCTTTCTATAAAATGAGATAGCAATCTACCTAACCTCACAACACACAATCCACTCTGAAATCAATTCTCAGCCCTACTACTCCAAATGCTTTCTATAATCAAAAGCTACCAACCTCTATAAAATCTGGTGCATGTTCATGCCTTCTTCGCCCATGGGCATGAAAGATCCACTCAAAAAGGCACATTGTTTTAATATTTTTTGGGGGTAGGGTCCCAGGTTGATATCTCATTCTAGAGAAGTATAGTGTGTCTCAAATCTGAGGGTCCTTTTGAGCTCAACCTCGATTCGGGGTTTCTTCGGCAGGGGATTATCATTCCCATGTTTTCCACTCAAAAAAACCCTGCCTCTCCCAGGCACGTACGGCCCCGAAACCGCCCGAAACCGTCCAGGCCCAGTCATCCGCCCAAGGGGCCACCAACGTCCATGAACGCACTTCGCCACGAAGGAACCATTCTGCTCGAGCACCCCGTCCACATCTCCGGAAAACCTGCGAAGCACCGCGAAGCAAACGCGACGCGTGACGCGTCGCGTCGCCCGCCGGTGTCGGAGACGGACAACAGTGAGGGGGGCGCAGGAAGCGACGCAGAAGCGACGCGACTCGAACGTCACTTAAGAGGCTATACCAAGTCCAAAGACCCAGTAAAACCTGGTCTTTTACCTCCTTAAGTAGTGTTTTTGTATGACCACGTCCAGTCAAATGTCTTTGACCTGTAGGGTATAGCTTGACCTGTGCGGCATGGCGACGGTACCAACGGTGCGATCGGGACGCCACGACCGTTCCGCGTTCCGAAGGCCCGATCGACTTACACCGTCACATCGATAAGGATTCACAAAGGTCCTTCTTCGTGCAATGGCAAGGTTTGGAATGATTTCATGGATGTTAACCCACCCCATCGTTTCCATGTTTGGCTTCATAGGTCTTTGCAGGATGTTTGGCGGTCACATTGCCCCGTCTTGACGTAGATTTGACGAGCAGCTTGATGTAGTTTCTCATGTAGCTGTCGACGAAGAAGTTGCTCTCGTTGCAAAGCAACAGCTCGTCAAGAGAGATATTCTGGACGTGGTCAAAATACTTCTTCGGGTCATCCCGAGTCGTATTGTAGCCTCGGAAACCACACAAGTTCCGTACTAAGATCTGTCCGTACGGCGGACCTTCCGTACGGAGAAATCCGGTTATCTTTCAATTGGAAAAGGCAAACAACATTACACACCAGGACGATATGGGCATGACAGAATATCTTCATGGCCATTGACCACCCAACAGAACAAAGCTGAAAGTTTCTCAAAGAATCTCAAAGTCCTGGAATGATGCAAAATTGTTCATGATGTTTGCTTGAGAAGCAACCAACCATTATATCAACTGCTGATTGATGCTCTTAAATAATGAATGAATGCACCTCTTTTCCATCTATACATGGACTCTCCTTGTGTAGAAGCATGTAGAAGCGAAAATGGGGGACATGAGATCAAACATATGTCAAGGTATCAAGCAAGGGAGGCTTCAGTAGAGCAAGCTCCACTTGCAGAAGGATGGGCGGCCGTTGGGTTTCAGTTCAGCTGCCGCTGATGTTTTGGTCGCTCAGCCCCAGGACTCGCCACCTATAGGGGTCGAAAACGGGAAGCATCAGGAACATGGCTAAGCTTCGCATCAGGCCCTTAGCAACTTAACACCCTTACTGCCAGGTCTGGCGAGGGTTCGAGGGTTGTTGGTCCTGAACTGGAATCGGTGACTTGTTGGAAGGTGCAGGGGTGTGTGTGAATATATACATGGACAATGATACCTTAGTCTCAAGATTTGGAGAAGGTCCATGTTAGTACTATATAATCGATGGGTAATGACAGGTAGTAGAAGGTCCACCGGTCCACCTAATCTGAGATTATATGAGATCCATGTTAGGTCCACCACTAGTGTAGCATCCGTTTGGGACTCACTGAGTACGCATCCGAGAAGGGACCCATCGTGGCCCCCGCCGCTCACTTCGCTCACTTCTTTTGGCAAACAAGAATCCGTCGATCGAAATCAGACTGAGTCGCCAAGACCCAACCCGGACTCGGTCGATTTCGGACCCATTTCTGAGCTCCGTCTGAACTAGACCTATCACAGTTGGTCAACCAGATCTATCCCTGGTTTTCACGTCCCTCGACCTGTTGCTGGCTTCGCGCGTACTTGTCCTCAATCCCCCCTGCATTCTCCCTGGCCTTCAGTTTTTTGACCGAGAAAAGACGAGACGAATCCTCCCGGTTTTGTCTCAGAAAAACGATTCGGGGACATGTCCCCGTGGTTCAGTCTGAGTGGCTCTTGTAGAAGTCCAAGGCAAGTCCCGCGTCCCCGAAGGCTGACGCTAAGACTTCCTTAGACACATACCTCGAGCTCCGCTGCAGGTCCCGAGCCACCCAGTGTGCGGCGCAGCGGGCGCAACGGTGTTGGGCGGTATTGCAAGCGCAAGGGTCAAGGACAGAATATGGGACACTGTTCAAAGAAACACTAGATCCAACTAGGGAGTACTCCATCCTTAGCTTGGGACCAATTGAGTACTCCTGTGTAAAATGTCTTAAATGTCATTTGCGTTCTGATACTCGCTCTATGAACCATCCTTTTTAGATATCAGCTGTGGCTCTACTTTTATGCCCGCGAGAGTATGTCAATAGTGGTCCTTAACATGTCATGGAGGGGCTACGGACAAAGACAAAACTCGTCAAATGCACACGAAGGTGATGTGATGCCCGATCCTCTACAAGTAGCATGTGTCCAAGCCAAACTTGGTCGACAGTTGCAGCTCCGAAGCTATATTCAACCCTCCTCATCTCAGGGTTGAGTTACTTCTGATCCCAAATTTGAGGGACAAACCAGAATATAGACCTATGACATGCTTAGGGTTGCTAGTGGGTGGATGGCGTGGGTACCAGTCCATATATAGATCACATGTATATGAAGTCAACTCTCTGAATGTAGGTTCGCGGCATTGTCTCTTCTCCTTCGTAGCCCATGGTGCCTATATCTTTTGGAGCCTCGACCAAGAGCTGGCTCGCAGCCGCTTTGAGTCGTAAACAAGGGCATCCAAAGGAAACCATCGATGCTAGCTTATTATCAACGTTACCTCATATACCGCACATACCTATATATGACAAATAACTAATTTACCCTGCGAGTCCAAGGTGCAAGTTAAACAATTTTTACGGAATAATAGAACAAGTTTAACGAGTACCTTTTGTGTGTCGAAACCCACGTCCTTTTATCCAAGCGAGTTCAAAATCACCACACTAATGGCACATATAGATCCTGCAAGAACGCACCAAAATGCAAACCATCTTCACAAATTGGTAGATTACAACATTGTAAAAATAGTTTGTCAGGATTTCCTCACTAATTACAAACATGGGGGACTAAGGACCTGTTACACTCCAGTTACGCTCCTGCTACCGTTTTAGAATGTTTTAGACGATCAGTTTGAAGCAGTTTTAGAAGTCTCCGGAAGGAGGTTGTTACGGAACGGCTCCGCTCCTGTTACGCTATTTGGTTGGCCCACAATTCAGATCTCTTTGCTCTTAATCTCAAAAAGTGAGCCTCAAAACCACCAAGAACCCTCTGACTTTACTCAAAATTGCCTTTGATTCACTTCCAAACAACCTGAAGAGATCATGAACACTATCTTTTGCTTTAACGTGACCAAGTAAGCCAAGTAAAGCTAGGTTCTAATTCTAATGAAGTACATAGTGTTCATTATCTCCAATTCTAAATGAACAGGTTAATTAACGAGGTCATTGACTTGGAGGGATTTGGAGGGTACATATCGCATGATTGATCATAGGTTTCAACTCCAACTCTTCGCCTGTCAACCTCTGCAAGCTGAAACTGGATCTTGATGGTTAGAACAAATCATCCCGAGTACCTATTAAGTACCTATTAAAAAACGGACCCCCTATTAGAAAAAAGTCATGTCGGAAACCCCTAAATACGGCTTATATTTGTTTTTAAGTTACCGCCCTTTCAAGCCGCTACTAAACTACCAACATTGCCGACTTTGGAGGAGTTTTTTTAATTAGGTTCCAAAAACAACCGAAACTGCCCACCTCTGTCCGCCCTGTCTATCCACCATGACACGCCGCGCTTACACCAGCAGGCTTTCCTTCCCCCAATGGCACGGACTCACGCAAACGCACTTGCCACCGAGGTCATGCAACACCGCATGGCACAGCGACATCACCTTTCGAAAGCTTTAGCTGTTAGTCTACTGAAGAATCACTATTCTAATGAAGGTTTTTGTAGGGGAAAAGGAAGACCCTTCGATCTGGAGCTTTTTTACATTTTTGATACGAGTTTAATAAAGGATTTTATATATAGATTTTTACTGGTTTACTTTTTGGTTTTGAAGCTCTTCCCAGGTGACCCTATTTTGGACCCCCCGATTTCAGGGACCCCCTATTAGAAAAAATGCGACCGAGGTTTCCTTATTGGGGGGGGGGGGCGTGTTTTTTAATAGGTGGACGGATTAGTAACTAGTTCGGGCAGCTCTTATCTTAACATATCGATGAGGCCACCTTTGAAGGAGGGAGTAGCATGTACCTGACCTGGAAAAAATCAATGGCCCAAAGAACTTGCATTCAATTTGGTTCAATCATGTTCAATCATGTTTGCTTCCTAAAAAACGTAGTTGTCTCGACAATTGCAGGAAGGGTCCCGAATCGATTCGGAACCGAACTTTCGGAACCGAAAGTCAGCGAATGTCAAGAACCGAAATTTTTCATCAACCGAATCATTACAACCGTCAATTTTCCAAACACAACCGAACCGAAAAGAAAAACGAACCGTTCCGCTCTGTTCCGCTGTGACGTTTTTTCAGACTGTCCAAAGTCTTGAGTTTCAGAGCAGCAGTCCCCCACTGGAATGTCCATACAGCATGTCACTGGCCCGGCCCGGCTTCAGGCGCATTCATAAAATGCATTTTCCTTTCCTTTTCCTTTTAATATGCTTAGTATAGACGGCATGGAAAAGGCATATTCACAAATTGCATTCCTACCTGTCCATTTCCATTTCCTTTTCCTTTCCTTTTCAATATGCTTTTAGATTGCGAGGAAAAAGCACATTCACAAATTGCATAACCTGTCCTTTTCCTTTTCCTCTCTTTGTCAATTGCTTTGCTTTCCTTTCCTTCCTTTTCCTTTTCTCGGCTTTCCTTTCCAATATGCTTTTTGGAAGGCATGGAAAAAGCATATTCACAAATTGCATTCCTTCCCCTTGCTTTTCCTTTTCTATTCCCTTTCTTTGCTTTCCCTTCCTTTTCTTTTCTTTCCTTTCCTTTCTTTTCCTTTCCTGAAAATAGTTACTTTCCTTTCCTTGCCTTTCCTTTTGCTTTCGATTTTCCCTTTTTCTCCTGTTCTGTCCTGTCTTGTCTATAGTCTATAGTCTAGTCTTGTCTTGTCTCTTTGTCATTGCCTTTCTTTTCTTTACCCCACTGCGAAACTTATACCTCACAGAACCGAAACGAACCGTGAACCGAACCGAAAGTCCATGAAAAAGTACTTCTACAACCAAACTGAACCGATTCGAAGTTTCAATTAAACATTCAAACCGATTTCAACCGAACCGAGACCTTACTGCAATTGTTTCATCGAACAAGTTGAACGCCTTTCGCACCCAGCGCTAAACACCGCAGTGCATGGTCCTTCACATGGTCAAACCGTTCACGTCCAGGTGAAGGACGGTCCACGTCTGAAGACCGGTTCTGCGTGGTTCGTGCGCGGTGGACGACGCCCAAATGGAGGCGAGATGGATCGCCACCGAACCAGGTCGGTTTATGGTGAGGACGGAGACTATTTAAGTAGGCGGTCGCCAGGAGGCGCCCAGTCATACCGAACCTGAGAAGGAGGCAGCGGCTCCACCCAAGTGGCATGCCATTCTCTAGGGCCTAAGGGCGCCTGGACCCCTGTCCCACCTGAAAAGATGGGACTGAAAAGATGGACCCCTGTCCTCAGGTCTCAAGCGAAACTGTTGGTAGGCCAGTATCCAAGATTTCGACTAGAATCGATCGATAACAACCCGCCATGTAAAAGAAAAGGTCTTACAATCCATGTCTGGATTGGATGAATCAAAACATATCCAAAGTCTCCATTGAGCCCCGTTCCGAAGAGTTTTCAGAACGGAACATCGAAATGAAACTTCGCTCTCCTCTGTCTTTCTTGCCGCACAATTTCCTGGCAAAACACATTGTCCTCATCCCAGTGATGAAAACAATAGCAAATGGCATGGTAGTTGGTGGTCCAGCGGTGGTCTAGCGGCCAATTTCCAAAACACAATACCATCAAAATCCATCAAAATACCGGATCTCCATCAAACCCGCATACGAAAGAAACCAGTCCTCAGTCCTGTGGTTGAAATATGTTGAAATCGTTCAACCTTTGGTTTAGATTGTTTTCCTCCGAATCACAAAACGATCCAGCGCTGGAGCCATGCAACGATGACAGGAAATTCCTCTTGGAATTGCCGCCACTGGTGCCCGTAGCCTGAAATCCAGGCGTCCATGGCCACGTGCACCATGGTCTCCTGGCAAAAGCGATACGATATCCCTATGGATCCACTGCCACCTATCGAACCTGAGCAGGTGCCAGGAGGCTTCAGTGAGAATGTATATTTGGATGGACAGAATTCCGTTCACCAGTTGAAGCATAGTTACAGTAGATGGGACCGTTCAATTGTGGACGGACTTGACTTCTGAAACCTCGGGACCATGGTTAGTTTGGGAGCATGCAAATGGAGTGAACTGCGTTTTTTTTTTTTTTTCGGATCTCGGATTCAGTGGATCTCTGTGATGTTCCAACGTCCTTAACAGATATGAGAAATTCTTCCCTAGGGATCCAAGTACCTTCTCAGAAGGCACTTGGACCTTGAAAACCTACATAAGAGTGTCTCCAATCACCTCCTGAGAAGGTACTTGGATCCCTAGGGCTTCCTTTGGACCATACCTACAGTTTTTCCAACGCTCCGAACCCGTTCCAACCCACCCGCGCGAACCGCGAAACGCTCGATGTAACGCCTCGTTTCGCGTAAGCGGCGGACGCGATAGCAGCGACGCTGCTTAACCACGCACCGATGTGTTGGCGAAACGGGTCGTAGGACTTTTTGCGCCTGAAAAGACTGTGTACACATCCATGTTCGAAGGTGCTGAACCCGGGAACCCATCTGAACCCATGCTACCAAAGCACCTCTCGTGGAACGCTTGGAGCCCATATGAGCCCATCCCACCAGCACCTTTCTCCCCGCTCCTCTCCCGCTTCCCGCCAAGGGCCTGGTGTCCACAGCGCCTCTTGGTGGTATCATCAAAGTCATCGCAGCCAGCCAGTGCGAAGAAGGGCGAGGCACCAAACTTCCCATTCACCGGATGGAGCTCTGCGTGAAAGCCTCAGAACGACATGCGGAGCCTGGTCCGACGGGATATGAGTGACATGAGTGAGGTACGTCATGATGGCCGCTCTTGGTTGCTAAGGCTCCAAGTGCACCCGGTCTTAGCTCTATCAGTCTCAACCCGTTGAGAGCCTCCAAAAAAACAAAAAGTCTTCGTCGTGAATTCTTCTAGCATTCATAAATCATCCACATCAAAGGAGTGACTCCCACGCCCACTTTCCACCACGCACCGATGCCCGAATGCCCGAATACGCCGAATGCGCCCGATGCCGGATCTACTGCTGAGCCAGTCCAGTGGCCTAAGCGCTCTCGAATGAGCACTTGTACGATCTCCGTCATGATCTCCGAAGAGGCCCAGTTGCAGCGCAAGAGTCCAATGGGGATCTGCTTCCCGTCCTCAAGACCAAAAAAGCGAGCGAGGATTGCAAGGCAAGATGTTTGGCATGAGCAATGCTATTGGGGGGATTCGCATGACCCGATAGGAATACTGGGCCCCCCCCCGATCTCCAAACCACGGGTTCTCTTCGCACGTCAAGAAGGTCTGTCCTCGGAAGTTCTTTCCCCCTGCCAAGATCGCATCCTTCATGGTTCTTCGACTCTTTCTTTGGAGGAAAAGCAAGTTGCTGAGGTCACACAGGTGACCTCAAAACAGCTACCCCTCTTGAGCCCAAGTCATGGTGCTGACTCAAAGGACACTTGGTTCAGCAGCTGGGGAGCGGGAGTCCTTGACTGGAAAGAAGAAACCTGGTATGGTGAC